TAAACAAAAGGGGTCCCCAAATAATCAAAGTTCGCATAATTGTGTCAATCAACTAGTCCCAAGTCCACGATCATATCGTTCTTAAGGTACTTGATCATCTCGTCCATCTTATACATATTTACACAAAGAGAAAATAACGAGTCTAAGGGGAAAAAAACTCCTTAAACCCACTCCTTCACTTTGCGTGAAAGGATTGATGAACAATATTATTCCATATTTTTAAATTTAAAGAATCATTTAATGGGTAGTTCTTAAAGATCGTATACATTTAATTCACTTCAAACATCCCTCAGAATGAACAAAGAGCAATATTATAAGAGATGAATAGTTGTTTATCCTAAAAGACCTTCTTAACAAAGTTATAAAAGAAAGGTATGAAGCACATGAAAAATTCCAAAGACTTTTCTTAGACAAATTTATTTTCCAACAACAATAGCCAAAACAAGATCCTTTGTCTAGAATTTCAAGCGTTAAAGATGAACAATAACATAAAAAAGGAATTGAATCTTCCAACAACAATGACTTGTCATCATCAGATTGTGAAGAAAGCATAGTTTCCTCACCAGTCACCAACACAACTAGTAATTATTACAAAAAAAATAACAAATAAACCTTTGCTGGAAAAAAGGTATGCTTTTGCAGGCAGTGATAAAAACTGATTCTTTGCTTCAAACTCTTTTGCTCGCTCCCCTTTGCTTCAAAAATAGTTTTTTATTGCTAAATATCCTTTTTGGTCCATTAAGTTTACCTCGGAGTCTATTTTGGTCCCTTAAATTTAAAAAGTTCCAAATTGATCCCTTAATTGTTCAAAAAGGTCCATGTTTATCCTTTCCGTCTGCCGCGTTAGTTAAAGTCAATGGATTCGTATATGTGGTAGACACATGTTTTATTTTATTTTTGCCACGTAAAATATAATATTTGAAGCCTAATAAAATAAAAGGAAATGGAAACAGAAATGCAGAAGTCACCCTTGTCTCTTCAAGCAAACCCTAGTGAAAGCCATTGTCGCATCTCCAAGGTGAACTTGCTACGTGTGAAGTGAAAGCATAATTGTATCTTGAAGGTGAAAGCGAAGACAACACTGCTTAGTAGAGGTTTCTCATCCACCACATCTTCGTAGAACCATTCAAAATATCCACAACCAACTTGTGAGGGACTGTATGTAATATAAATTTTGACTATATCAGAGCAAACAAAAATTAAGAAGCAATTGAATATCATTTTTACCTTATAATGACGACAACCCCAAAATTGTTTGCCAAAATTTATAATTGTTGAGGCCCTTCAAAGAACAACCATGTCTCCACAACGACATACATATTTCATGGTAAATTTGCATCCAAGCGAGCATAACTCTTCACATTGGATTCATATGTACATTACCCAGAGTTCGTTGATGGTGATAACTCCATTTTCCACAAGTAATTTCAGTGTTGAACCCTAAATTGATTTGGGGAAATTCTTGAGAACTTGGAAGAGGAGATGGAACAAAGAAGAACATCAATGTAATCCACCTCACCTGGCACGTAGACCAAAACAAAATTCTGTTACAATCAATTTAACGGAAAGGATCATTGTGGACCTTTTTGAGCAATTAAAGGATCAATTTGGAACTTTTTAAAACTAAGGGACCAAAATAAACTCTGAGGTAAACTTAAAAGACCAAAAAGGGTATTTTGCTTTTTTTATATTTTTAATTTAGGGTTATAATGAATAAATTTAGATGATTAATTGATATGCAGCTTCAGTGTTTAAGGTATATTTGGATTGGTGGTGGACATAACTGATTCTAGCATAATTGAGTTTGATAGAATTGATTTTAGCATAATTCATTTAAGTTTGGATACATTTATGTCAAACCGAGTTGAACAATAAATTTCAGTATAAAAAACACCTAGAAGCAATTCTGGAGTCCGAAGCTACGAATTCTAGCTTCAAGTAGAATCAATTCGGGAGGCAGAATCAATTCTACTTTTGATAAACCAAACACCTCAAAATCACACAGAATCAATTCTACATCTCTAGAATTGATTTTGAGGTTTGTAGAAGACAATCCAAACATACACTAATTTTTTTTTACATATTCATTGTATCACAATCATTCAAAGATGATACTTTATAGATCATTAGAATAAAAGTCAAACGTTACTAAAAATCTAACAATTACGATTAATTGAAAGTGTAAAATTTATTTACACGGTCGGTGTATACAGTTAAATTCTTTGTTTTTATGTTTTAATAATATTAAGTAATATTATTATTAAGAGATTAATGATGAACATAAAACATTTTATAAAGTCAATCTATGAACTATCTATTTGTGTTACTTTACATGTGATTATAATAAAAGTCAAATTTCTCTAACATATATGTGTTATATTTGTTATTGTCATTAATCAATCGTGTAAAATATTTTTACAATGTCAATGAATTTTAATTAAATTCTATTATTATTATTATTAATAAACTATTTTTAATTGATTTTTAAAATTTTAATCATAATAAACTATTTTTAATAAATAACATAATTATTATTGATATAAATGATATGGATATAAATTTGGTAAACGTGGCAATAACATGTTATCATACTTAATGCCATATGATTAAAATTTGGTCTCAAAGTGGAAGATAAACTAAAATCCTAAAGAAAAAAAGTATTTTAAAAAGGACTAATATTCTGAATTTTAAAATAGAAGAATTAAATCGAAAAACATTAAAAATAAAAAGCCAAAATTGCAATTGAGCAAAAATAAATAAAATAGAAAGATCTTAACGGTTCACATGAACTTTACAATTATCTCAATTACATTGTCAATTTCAAAAATTATATAAATGTTGAGAATTGTTTAACGCATCTTAAAGATCGCTTTTCCACCATGGTAAAAAATTAAAATTACTTCTAAAATTTGGAAATGCATCTCCAAACTCACCTCAAATACACATAATTCATCTGTTTTGAGTGACGCTCTAATTATTTGACTGAATTTAATCCAGAAATGCATCTCCGTAAATTTTACGGAGGTTTATTTCTGGAACCTACTACAGCAGAAACAATTGCAGAAATGAAATAGATGCAGAAACGAAGATAAATTAACACTGATAATATTTAAAATGGAACATTACATAGATAATCATTAACATAAATCGAATATTATATTTTAACGTCAAGATAGGCGTTTCAACATCTTCATAATATCTTCGATCGATCACACAATCGTCGCATTTAGCTAGATCAGACCTTTTGTTTCATAGCGGTTAAATATATATTCCACATAACCCTTAAATCTGCACCCGTCTTCATCTCAAAATTGTTGAACTTAATCTTCCTTTTGTTGTCAATTAAGGGTGAATAATATTCGAGCTTCACAATTCTTTGACTATCTGAGTATTGTAGGAGATTCTCGATTATGAATTCAAATTTATAAGAGGGGTGTACTTTATAAACTTAAATGCAATTGATGACTCCGCGCTGTCGAAGTTGACATATGCAACATGCGAAATTGTGTTCATTCTAGTGTAATGTGATTTTGTGAAAAATATGAGATGAAAAACTCATATTTATACAATTTCTAGATTATTATGGACTTTAGAAATTCTATGGTGAAAAATTTTGAAAAATATTTTGAAAACTTAAATGTATATTAAAATATTTTAGAATGTATTTATTTAACATCATTAATATTAAGACAACATTACATACAAAGTATATTGAACCACATAAATATATTCTTGAATAAAAACAAAAATGAATCGAAACATGTGTCAATGTTCAAATCTATATGTATGGGTGATTGCGCCTTTGACTTTTATTTATTTATTTCTCTTTAAATCTCGCTCAACTCAGTGATTTCTTGCATCCTATCCAAAAAATGACCAGTCTCATTTTCATCTTTCTTGTTGAATGAGATGTCTACTTCGGTGATTTCAATGGTATAGAGCATTCTGATTTAAAATAAACTTGAACAAAGTGTCACCGTTTTGAAAGTCATTCAATAGACATAATACGATCATTTAGAATTTGAGGTGGAGCAGTGCGCACTGGAAAATATTTTTGATAAACTATATCTTGTCAGAATAATGTGAGCAATAGGAAATTAAATAAATCATATTTATCTTGAATTTCAGTTTCTTTTACTCTTTTTGATGTGATAAAACACAAGAATGAAGTTTTGCAAAGCAAATCTTGATTGATATGATGAAACACAATAATCAAATCAAATCTTAATTGAAAATAGAATAATTTTTTATTAAAATTTTAAGACAAAATAGTATTTGACCATGTTTAACCGTTCAAAAAATGTGATAAATTTTCAATTTCCCATTTCACAACTTCAAAAATGCATTTTTGAATTTGTTACTAAATTATTAAATTAGAAATAAATTAATAGAATGAATGCAAAGATATATCTCTAAATTAAATTTAAATGAAAATTTGAATGAGTCTTAATTAAGACGTGTTTTAGTGATTAATCAAAAGCATTCAAAAATACATTTTCAAAATTAAAAGAGGGCATTTTCATAAGGTGTTATTCCACCACTTGAATTTAAATAAGCAATTTTCATTAATGTTTACAGAATTTAATTAAGAGATGGTAATCTTGAGTTACTTTAAATAAGTCATGGTACTTACTAAATAAAGTTTGCTAACCTATTTTTATAACAAAATATAAATTGTTTTTTAAATATGCCCAAGTAATTTACAGGAGTGGAATATCGCTAATGAACAAAAACGGGACAAATAATCAAAGCCTTACATATGTGACAAGAATCATATTAGAATTATGTCCTTTATTTTCTCTACGTCACCTAATTTCTAACAAATCCAGTCAAACAGATTCTATCAATTTGAATTGGGATAAATATATAGTGGAGCACAGCATGCTCAAAATAATCTAAAATCTTTACAATTTTGATGTACAATAGTTAGAAATAGCATTACAACAAAATTGTGGAGCCTGTTATAAGGCTCTGCAGGAAGAAAAAAAATATCAAACCAATCAAAACGCCTTCGCCTTTTTGTGTTTTTGTCTATCATTGTTTTTGCCATTGCTTGCACCTTCCTTTTTAAAACCTCTGTGCGGTCTTTTTGATACCTGAAGAAAATTGGAATCCGTCAGCCATAACACAGAAACAGAAGAGATAGAAGTAACAACATAACATAAACATTCTTTCCCATTGCAATCCCTCAAGCAGTCAAAAGTTTCACAGAGGATCATACCCCAGTAGAGATGGCCATCAGAGGGTCACCGCCTTTTCTTGATTTTCTCTTGGAACCCCCTCGGCGTTTATTATTTCCCATTGCATCTCTTGTAAGCTTAACCATTTCCCTTGCCTCTTTTGTTGATTTGTCTATTAGGTAGTCTGGCACATCCCGAAGGTGTGGAGGAGGGGCGTTCTTGCTCAAAACTTTGTCATGTTTCAATAGAGCTGCTCAAATACAATTCCAAAGTAAGTTTAAATTCTTCTAACACAAAATGCAAAAGTAAAAATGCTAACAATATATACAGTAACAAAATCAACCAATAACATTACCTAGGTCTCTTGGATTAGTTTCAAAGTGGGACTTCAACCTGAAAAGGAAAAACAAAAGTGTGCAGGCATGGGGATTAGAAAAGGAACAAAATTTAGTGACAAAGCATAACACATTCAATACCAGGGACTCACTTTTCAGAGTTCAAAATCTCATTTCTCAGATCCTGGGCTCGTGATTCACGGACAGCAATTTTAGTTACACTCTTTGCAACATCCTGCAAGACAATGGCAGCCATCAACAGTGTTTCCAAAGCAGCAAGTTACACCAACTATACTTGAATATGCATTGCAAAAGCCTGGAGAGAGTTCCAAAATATTCTCTATATGTTTTTAATTAAAATAAAAACAACTGCAAAAACTTGCTAGATGGTAGTAAATCTCAATATTTTCTAGTGTATCTGAGACAGAAAGGACATGGTATTCAATAATAAAAGTATTGTTTGTTGTTTTTCAGGACACAAACTTTAAGAGTGTGTTTGGTAGCTAGAATAAGAGATATATCGTATATGTCAAGTAGTGCAACTGAGACAGAAAGGACATGGTATTCAATAAAAAAAGTAACGGTTATTGTTTTTCTGGATACAAACTTTAAGAGTGTGTTTGGTAGCTAGAATAAGGGAAGCTATATCAGATATATCAAGTAAACTATCTTATCCTGTAACAAGCCAATGTTTGTCGAGTCTATAAGATACGATAACCTTACCCAGTAGGCTTGCCCTAATACTGAACTATTGACAATATAAGTTTTACCTAAGGAGATGGATTTAAAATGATTATGACAAGATTTTTCCCTTTTCACCATTGTTAGTGACCTAATCTCCCTTCACCTCCATGACAACACATGCTGCCATAAACCTTCCACTATTTCCCCACTTCTAACACCTTGAGCCATAGCCGTCTGATATCACCTGCGCTGTAAGGCTCCCTCGACCACCAACTCATCATTATCTAGTCCACCTCAAACATAAGATAGGATAACAGTGATATAATACTATCTATGGTTTATCTCACGTGCATTAAATAGGAATATGATAAGATCACATTAAGCTTATACCCTTTCCTACTCTTATTTGAATCCTGTCATGGAAACCATTTTAGGCTGAAAAATATTGAAACATAATACAAGATGAGATAATTTCATTTTTTAACTAAAGGATTCTTAGACAGAAATTTATAATGAAGAAAGAACATACTAATTCATTGAAAAAGGATCTCATTGGTTGATGCATATATGAAAAGACTGATCTTTTTGTTGAGAGTATGGGAAACAATAACTCACCTCAGCCCTATACCGTAAAGATTCTACAGCATTCTTGGTGAGTAAGGGAAACTCGGCAATTGAGGGTGAGCCAACGTTGTTTTCATCGTCCCCAACAAAAGATCTTACTTCTTCAAAGGTCTCCATCTCATCTGAAGAAACCTATAAAGAAAGAAGGAATGTCTAAATTGCCAGGATTTTGTTGCTTGGATCTCAATAGTATTATTACCCAAAAGACCAACACAGGCTCAAGAGCGGAAAATCTAATGAATTTTGTAAAATTTACTCGGTGGAAAAGAGGAGCTTTATTGGTCTAATAAACTCACCAAGGTGATAGAAGCACCGGAACTGTATGCTCTTCCAGTACGTCCAATTCGATGTACGTATCCTGCCACACTGCGAGGCATTTCAAAGTTTATAACCTGTTCACCAACAAGAGAAAGCATTAAGTAAATTATTTCAGTGAACATGGCAATCTCCCAATGAAACAAAGATATAAACCAGAAGATTAAATCTAACATAGCATAGTAAACAACTCTCACTATAATGACATATGCTGATCAATGACTTCAAACATACACCGGAAAAAAACATGTCGGAAAGAGAAATAAGAGATGACATGCATACCGTGTATACATTTTTAAAGTCAACTCCCCTTACTACTCCAAATTCAGAATCTAATTTTAGCTTTGCGTGTTTTCTAGACTTTCGCGATCCAACAACATTTTCCTTAGGTACTTCATCCTTCTCAGTTGACTGGCTGATATCTGCTGCGATTAGATAATCAAAAAGGCCAGCATTGAATTCCTGATGAAAATAAGTTCATCAAAATCATGTGATAAAATCTAAAACATAGATCTATAAATAAATGAACAGATAAATAATAATAGTAATAATAATAATAACAACAACAACAACAACAACAACAACAACAATAATAATAATAATAATAACAATAATAATAATAATAATAATAACAACAACAACAACAACAACAACAACAACAACAATAAAATCAATTTTTAAGAAAATGAAAGGATTTGGTTTGATTTTACATTTATGTTTTTCATAAAAAATGAAAATGTTTATCCAAACCAAATTAACCATAAACTACTCCTAAGCTTCAGTAGTAGGAACATGCCATGCATAGCACTAGGTTAAGTCGAAAAACCTTAGCACCTATCATACCAAAAGAAAGATGGAAGTGAATAAAATTACATACCTCGAGAATATGTAGACGGGAATTTTGAGGCAATTCAGCATTTAAAACAGCAGACTTGATCCCAAACTAGAAGAATACAGATAGAGAATATTAAAAAAATGAGAGAGGAAAAGATGATGAAAACAAAATAACCCCATTTGCAACAATAAATATTAATTATTGGTGGAGTAGTGCTGTTGACGAAACAATTAAAACCAAAAAACATGATTTTCCCGAGTCGATCAAAACTCCATAACATCAAGAGCAGACAAACTTAAGGCAACAAAATATCCAGTTTACAGAAAATGGTCTTATTGATTATTACCCATTAAAAGGATGCAGTTTGACAATCAACGCAAATTGTTAAAAAAAAAAAAGTGTGCTAACTTCGATGTATAACATGTAGTATGATATAAGATTTTTATTAAAAGAACATGTTAGATCGGATGGATTAAATTTAACTGAGGCATACAAATAGGTGGACGTACTGTCAAGAATCATCTAAACCAAAATTTCAAGCTGTTAAATATAGGTTTGTGAATGGTTTTATATCATACAAGTCCTCTCACATAAGAACTACTTGAGCTTGGAGCATTAACAAAATCATAAGCCCACTCTACATGTGCTACAATTCAACTTTTTTTAATGAAGAATGAACATGACCAGGTTCAAATTCTTGATCATTTTGCAATATAATCTTCACTATCATGCCATTGGCTAACTATCATAAGTGCATAAACATGTTAGGAGAAAACTTAGCAATGATTTAATGTCTAGCACATACCTTCTCCAAGAAAAGTTTCAATCTGAAACTTGTATCTATGTTATTAGTGAATATCAAAACTTTCTTTTGGACTAACTCCAACTTCAACATAGCAAGGATGTAGAGCAACTTATCATTGGCAGGACAAGAGATCTGAAGATAAATATTCAAAGAAAATGGTAAAAAGCATATCAGCCCGAACACATGAAAAAATGTTGAATCAGAAATCAGAAAGCGTAATTGAAAGAATCATATTGAAAATTAAAAACTTAATTGTAAACTCTTTTCCTTCTTAATTAAACCTTTCATTGCCAAAAACATATGATTCTTTTTCTCTTGATCTTGATACAAAACATGTCTCAAATATAGAAAAGAAGGTGGTCTCCCTTCTCCAAAAAAAGAAAAGAAATAATACACTACTTTTGTGTAAAACATAAAAATTTAACTTAACCCCTATTAACATCACAAAATCAAGAAGATGCATAGATAAATTCAAAGAATGTCTTACCCAGAACTGCTGAACATTTTTAGGGATGACCTCATCCTTATGGTTTTCCTTTTCGGCCAAAGTCAAAACTATGGCGTTGTGTAAAATCAAATTTTTTAGTTTGTCAACATCGTCACTGCAGAAGAAAACATTTCATTAGAAATAATTACAAATGGAGTATTATCGATGGCGGATGGTGGTCCATGGCAGAGAGCCAAAATCCTGCTATATTGGCTGCTTAGTGGCGCCGTCATAGCGGATTATGGGGGAAAACACACAATATTGGCTTAGATTTACCATGGCGGAAAAACACACAATATTTGCTGAGATTCACCATGGCGGATATTCGATAACACTGAAATGGACATGATTCTATGGAAGGCTTATCCTAAAATAATATCACATAATGGTCATTCATACACATCAAAAGACTACGCTAGTATAATTTACAGAGATAAACAGTGAAGAAAAAATGCAAGGAGGATCACTATGCCGGTGTCTGTTTCATAATATCAACTATAAAGAAATGATTGGCTAGAACAAGTAAAGAAAAAATTAAAAATTGAAGAATGAGACATGTAGCAGCATACACGCTATTTGAGCAAGAAGAATAAAAAAATATGGTGGCTGAAACACAATGACACACCTTAATGTTGCAGACATGAGAAGACACTGGCAACTTCTGGGTATGTGAGGTGTTAAAGCTTTTATGTCATTTTCATACCCAAATGATAATAGAAGATCTGCCTGAAAAGATTATTTTGGATATCGATCATGTTACCGAATGTAAAACAATTGGAACAATGAACAGTTGTTCAACTTCTACTTGAATGGCATTAAAAAATTGAAGACTTAATTACGGTTTAAGTCCCTCTATTATAACTAATGTGAAATTCAGGTACCACAAATAATTTGAGTGAAGTTAATCTCATAAACAATTTTAACGTCAACCATTAAATCTCTCCATCACTTTCCTTCTACTTAACTTTCAAATTCTACTCTACTAGTAAAAATAAATTTTAAAACTTCTTACTTTCAAACCTTATTAACCAAATATCAAGTTTGACTCAACAAAATTTCAAAGTCATTTAACATTTTATCAAATCTTCAAAACATTTCTTAATTTCAAAAAATTTGGCCTGTTTTGGATCTAAAATCCATAATAACTCTCAAATAATTTTGATAGATCAAAGGTTGGAAGAAAGCAATTGACAACATGATAAAATTTGTTTCACTATTATAGTAAGAGACTTGATTGTTTTTTAAAAAAAATGTAAGCCATCATATTCGCACTTGGTTTAATTAAACCAGAGAAATCAAAATTCAAAAGTATAGTTGAGCTATTATTAAAACTTAAAAATAACCAACATTTTAAAAATCAAAAAGCTATAAAACAAATGAAAACCAACAGTAATGTATCTGTCAAGTTGTGTTATTGGTGAAAAGAAATAACATTGTTCATTGCTCATACCAACAAATGCTACGAATATAAACAAAGAATGTATCTAATTTCACCTCATCAAGAACTAGAGTTTCAAGCGAGTCATTAATTGATGCTGGCAGAAGTATTGAGTTGGACAAACACTTAGCTATGCAAGCAGGAGTGGAAATCAAAACATCAGGAGGTCCAACCAATGCTGCTTGCTGCAAAACCAAATTTTAGACCCTTACATCAATATTAAACCATATTTTAAAACAGACCAAATATATAATTTCGGGGCATCACATGCATATATGAACCTACTTGGGCGTGGAGACATTTGTACTGTCTACAGAGGCTCTAGCCCCTTCCAGCTTTCTATTAAATGTTTTTCACGCCTCTAAATCTAATATTTATGCACGTTTTTACATACCTCTATTCTTGTTTTACTAACTACTATTCTACAATGAACTATAGAGGGAAAGATGATGAAACTGAAGGAAGTTCTCGCAACCCCGTAACTTAACAAATCAACATACTAAACATATAACATGTGAGGCTACTAAAGTAATAATTAATAGTCGGACACAGTTGAAAAGTATAATTCATTTTTTTCTAATGTTTGTTATTTATTAGTGGCTAGCCCTATAGCACCGAAACCTCTAACCAAAGGTGTGTCCAGTGTCTGACACTGACACAACACTAACACATGTGCTTATGTACCGTTGACTCAGTTTTTTTCTTCAAATTATTATTAGGGTCGACATGGTGTTGGTGTGTGTCTGTGCTTCATAGGTGGTTAGTGTGGAGCAAATACTCAAACTGATCCATCATTTAAAAGGAGTTATTGAGGCAAATCTCTAGTTTCTATGGTCTTACCACTCTTCACCTTAATAAAATGTTGAGAAACCTAACTTCACTTCAAACACTAACAGTATCTGATTTCTTGAAATTGATGGAATTACCAAATGAACCCTGCAACCTTGCTTTGGAGCATCTCTGTATTAGTATCTACTTTTAAGTCCTTGGTTCAACTGTAAAATGAAAATATTCCTAGAGTTGCAGCAAACATTTTTCTTCCATTGAATACGAACTCCAAGAGAATCTATGTTGCTGAAACTAGTACTCATGCTGGAGAGATCAAGTACTAATTAGAGATCTAGTGGCAATACCATTGTTGGTGAGCCATTATATGTTTCATTTCTAATGCTATACATTCATTCATTATTGATTCATCTCGATGCTGCTTTGGAAGAGTATATGTTAATTCTTGTTTTAAAACCATTTCAGCAAACACTTTGTTACTTTTCTACAAGTGTTATTTTATGTATATTGAGTGTTTCTGATTGATTGTTCTCATTCTAAAGTTGCAGAAATAAAAGCCCTATTGCATTTCCTAGTCCTAAGTGTTAACCATATATGCACATTAGTCCTTAACTAGAAACAGTTACAACAACAACAAAAATGATAGAGCACGTAACGAACCAAGTCGGTAGCAAGCATTTTGCTATTCAACTGCACAACTTTCAGCTGAACTCTGCATAACTCAAGCAGTGACTTAACTTCCACACCTATCTGAAAAAATCAAACACAAAAAAAAAAAATTACAAACAGTGGAAACATAGTAAGAAAAAAAACTAGTGAGAATGATAACAGAAAAATTGAAACAAGCGAATGAACCTGTTGAGAGAGTTCAGTAGTCGGAACAAGAATAATAACATTAGGCGCTAACTTTTTCCTATCAACACTACTAGTAAAGAGCTTCTGAAGCAACGGGAGAAGGTATGCAAGTGTTTTCCCGGAACCTGTTTTTGCTCGAGCAACGACGTCTTTACCTTCCAGAATATGCGGAATCGCGTGCTCTTGAATTGGAGTTGGTTTCTCGATTTTTTTCTTCAATAAGGCGCGGATGAGTCGTGCGTCTAACCCTAGATCTTCGAAGGTTTTATCTTCGACTTCTTTGGTTGATTCTGCCATGGCTGTTTCGGTTTTCAGGGGATGGTTAGTTCAGGATACAAATGTTACCATGCTGGTAGTTGTTAAGGGATATTAGGTTTCAATTTGATTTGGGCCAAGAGCAGGATCATTTGGGCCAAGAGCAGGATCATTTGGGCTTTTGAGGGAGTGATCTATTTAGTCTGGATGAAGGATCATTATGTTTTAAATAATGTTTATATATAAATAAAAAGTTCTAATATATAATTATATTTTTTTGCACTTTAAATAAAAAAAATTATTTAAAAATCACATATATAAAAAATAGTTTTTACTAAAGAAATTATTATACCAACATAAAAATGAGCAATTATACTATAGTAACTATAATTTTGTATTGTTATTGTTATTTTTAAAAATGAACTATTCTAAAAGTCATTAACACATATATTTCGTACACTAATATATTTTTATTTTTTATTAATCAATTAATTAAATTTAATACAAGTTAGATTGATGAAAATTATATTTACATTATGTTAATAAAATTAATTTTGTTTAAAAATGAGTTGAATATATAAATAATTTATTTTTGAACACATTTATGTAAAAATAATTTAAACAATAATTTTTAGTGTTTTAAATACGTTTAAACTTAAAAATTACAAATTATATTTTCAAGTTAAAATTAATTCTCAAGAAAATAGGTATTTTGTTTGAGAACAATCAAACATGATAAAGAAATTATTTTACATTTCGAAAATATTGGTGCACAAAGGAGAGGTGAAAGACAAAAGGAATATATTAAATGACGGCTACAAAGTAAAGAGTAACTATTAGGTTATTTATACATAATATTAGGGTATAATGAAATACTAAAATACATTCTAACACACTTAGTCAACAAGACATTTCTAAAATATAAATTATTTCTAACATTATCCCTTAATTTATATTTACACAAAACTGACAATATTAATTTCATATATCTCAAATAAAGAAATTATCCAGTCTTGATAGCCTTTGTTAAAACGTCGGTCAACTGTTTATGGGTGTTATAATACACAACTTCTAATATTTCACTCTGAACCTGATTCCTCGAAAAATGATATATGATCTCAATATATTTTCTTCTTTCATGTAGCATTATTAGCATTATTATTATCATTATCATTATTATTATTATTATTATTATTATTATTATTATAATAATAATAATAATAATAATAATAATAATAATAATAATAATAATAATAATAATAATAATAATAATAATAATAATAATAATAATAATAATAATAATAATAATAATAATAATAATAATAATAAACCGGAGGCGATACAAATTCATGGATTTTGAAATAATAAGTAAATTAAAACTTGTATATTCTAAAACATTCATTTAAATTATAATAATTATCAATAATAATTCTATAAAATTTAATTTACCGCACAGGTGAAAGGAAGGGTAATTTTTTAACGAAGTGAAATTATTATTTAATAAATATTTTAATAGTCAATATGGTATTTTGTATTAAATGCTTAAGAAATAATGTTAATTTGTGATGATAGAGCAAATTAATTGACAAAAGTTTATAGAGTGAGTCAGATTTTATCGTAATATTTTTAATTAGTGAGATATTTATGTTTCTGTACGAGTATGCATTTGTTTTTAAAATATATTTAAAGTAAAATATTATCCATTAAATTATTTAATATGATTTTAATTTATTTATGTTAACAGAATATATTCAAAACCAATGTATTTATATGAATATTAGTGTAATACATGTATTTGTTTTTATATTGATTATAAAAAAAAGTGAATACGATAAAAGTTTTTCGTTTATAATAATAATTTGGACCAATAATAAAAATTTCTCGCATAAAATTAAGTTGAAAAACTTTTTGACATGTATTAATTTAAAATTGAAGATGAAAATGTGACTGTGATTGGAAATTTACAATAGAACATGATTAATTTAATTTGTGAACACACAGTGGCGTGTGTATTTACACCTCTGGTGATATGTTGGAAATATGCCGTAAATAACTCTCAGTATCTCTAGATTGTCAAGTGAAACACCCTTTCGTATAAAACTTGCAAATGTAAATCAAATATAACTATTTCTGTAACAAAAGATAAGAAAATAATGCAGATTATTCTTCTTCTTTTTGGCTATTTCCACTATGATGAAATCTATTGGTAGCTTTTTTTAAATTTATTTTACCTACAAATATTTTACAAAAACATAATCTATGTCATCAATAGCAAGGTAATTAAAATCGGACTATAGATTAAACTAGTATATTTAAGGGTTTAGGGTTTAAAGATTAGACGGAGGTTTAACCGGGATTCAACCAATTATAATTAAATACATGTTTTTTTTTTATAAATAATAATAATAAATAACAAATTCAATGATAATGAAATAATAATATGAAACTCACAACTAATATATACATTATAAGAGACCTGAGTTATCATCTCAAATCTTATAAGTGTTTGGAAAACATGTCAATCATTCCTTATTCGAGAATAAATGAAAAGGTGATGAATAAGAGTATTAACAAAAAAGTCAAAAACACATGATAATCACGGTTTTTCCTAAGCTTGAACATAATGTACAAGAAGTTCGTCAAATATCTTTCAAAATCAGATACGTGGGCATGAATGAAGAATATGATATCATGGACTGCACAATTTGGATTGCGCTGAAGAAGACAACTAAATTTGCAGAATATCAGAAAAATTTCCTAAGCTTTTTTTTTTTTTTACCTACAAATATTTTACAAAACATAATCTATGTCTATCAATAGCAAGGTAATTAAAATCGGACTATAGATTAAATCAATATATTTAAGGGCTTAGAGTTTAAAGATTAGACTAAGGCTTAACCGGGATTCAACCGATTATAATTAAATACATATTTTTTTTATAATAATAATAATAAATAATAATTTTAGTGATAATGAAATAATAATATGAAACTCACAACTAATATATATTATAAGAGACTTAAGTTATCATCTCAAATCTTATAAGTGTTTGGAAAACATATCAATCATCCCTTATTCCAGAATAAATGAAAAGGTGATGAATAAGAATTTTTTTTTTTGGAATAATCAATGTGATAGGTGGGAATGAGAACTGACTGTTTTTTAAGCTGGTTCGCGAAATGTCGCGGTAAGCAAGAGTCGTCACCGTCTTTTATGTTCTCCAATATGGAAAGGACAAAAGCACAGCAAAATTCCTTATTCGAGATTGTTTATCGGTTCGGGAGGTAGATTTATAGAAAGGGAAGGTGTTAGCACCCTTTCTATCCATGGTTATCCATGGGCTCTTAGGTACTTGCTCTTATGTTTTCAAAATTTGTTTGCTTTTCAAGTGTGTGTGGGTTTTGAAAAAAGTTCGTTTGGAAAACTTCTAAGTAACTCTTGTATCAGTCCTCAAGAGTGTATGAAGTGTTTTGTTTGAAAACTTTTTGAAAGTTTGGGGTGCGAAAAGTATTTTTGTTTGTTTTGAGAAGAGCAAGTATCCAGGAGAATCTACCTACTCTAAGGAATTAAGCTGTGTAAGAGTCCTTTAGATAGTGTTATCCCACCATTGAGAGGTAGGTAGCACCATCGTTGGAGGTATTTGGGTCAATTCGATTATTAGGGACATGTGTGGTCACCTAAGCAATGGTAGGACACCTTAGAAGTAACCCTAATGTCCTAGATCCTTTTATCCGAGGCAACCGTTTCGAGGCAACTAGATCTTTAGACAAAGGGCGACCTCTAAGACACCCTATACTTGATGACCACGTTCGAGGCAACTAGTGAGGCGTACCCTAGGAGTGGCATGTGCTTTGTGTGTTGTTTTTCAGTTAAGGTTATCTTGTACATGTTATTTGTGAGCTACGGATTGATTTTATTTACATACATTCTTGCAGGCATTTTTTTAACAATTAGGGGTGCGGAAAGTAAATTGCAGAAAGATAAATCTAACTATTACAAGGCGCGGGTCTATACATCGCCAAAAAAACAAAACCCGTTTGGAAATAAAGTGCGAGAAAAGTAAATAAAGCAGTAAAAACCTAATTAACTATTACATATCTGGAGACAGTTACATAAATAATCAAAATAAATAAATGCGCGCGAGTAGAAACTTAATCGGGAACGTCCTAAGGGTTTTAACCCTTTTAAGAAAAGAATTGAATTTTTGTCACTTTTTTTGTAATTAATGAAATTAAAACTAATAACTTAAAAGGAAAAAGAATGTTTTTGTGTTTTTTATATTTTTAATGGAAATAAAAAAATAAAAGAAATTAAAAGTCAAAAAGAAAACCTAATTCTAAATTGTTTTTATTTATTATAGAAAAAGGTGAAAATTAAACTAATTAGACTAATTAATTTGAGTTAATGCTTATTTACAAAATAATTACCTAAATGAAATTAATAAAAATAAAATATTTACATTTTTTGTTTTTTTGAATTTTTACTTGTGAAAATGTTAATTATGTTAATTAATTAAATACTAAGAATAATTAATAAAGAAAATAAAAAAAGAAAAAGGAAAATAGAAAAAAAAGAAATAGAAACCAAATGGGGTGTTGATGGCCCAATGGAGGTGTGAAGCCTAGAAATTGCTGGCCCATTAACCAGCCTTGTTGACTTTTGGAGATTGCCTGGAGCAGCTTTGACTCATGAGCATGATGCTCATCATTTTCTGGCCTTTGGATTGATCTTTGAGGCCACATGGCATCTGGGCGCTGGAGACACATGATGGATTGCTTTTGGGAGCCTGTACACAATTACATAAGAAAAAAACAATATGGAATTTTGGGGGGGACCTGGGAATCGAACCCAGGCCCCAGTGATTCACAACCAACACCTGTACCACTAGACCACTCATGCGCGTTTGTAAGCATAATGAGAAATAAATATTATATAAAATGAACACATTATATGCTGGACAAAAGAAAAATAGCGCGCATTTTTTGAACCAGCCAACCATACATGACCACGTCACCGTCTTCTTCACTGAATGCCTGTAAAAA